GCTTTCAGAGAAAGGTCTTGATCAAAAGAGAAAAATGTGAAAATTAATAAATAGAAACCTCATTTAAAATGGAGTCAGGAGGCCAGAAGGGGAAGCTCTCACACCCTACAACAACCGTCGAGCCCACGTGGAAGAAGAAAGACTTCCTCTTCTTGTCCAGCCAATGAGAGACTGTCACAGCCAGTGAGAGAGTGTCACAACTCAGCCAATGAAAAGCCAGTACACTGTGAACTCTGAGTTCCTCCAATGGACTCTTTGTTTACATCAGCCCTCCCCACATCCTCTTCCCCTCTATGGAAGAGTTTCTCCTCCCCTTGTTGCTTGGACCTTGCAAGTGGCTCACCATGGTGGCAGATGCCTAACTGCAATTCTCTGTTGATCCCGAATAAACTCATTTTTGCTGGAGAAATAACTGGCTGTCTATTGTTTGAAGTCAACACCAACACATTTCAAAGAAAAAAGCAGAAGTACTGGGAATAATCCCCAGGAGAAAGAAAAATAAGGCCTAGACAAAGAGAATATCCCAGGTGATGAGCTCAAAAGTTAAAGTTCACAACAGCCTTTCAGCCTGGTAATCTGGCAAGAGGTACTAATAGCTTTAGGCATAACCTCTGACCCACTTCCACTTCATGGAACGTATCCTAAGTAAATAATTAAAGATAAAAGAAAAAATTTAGCCATGAGGATGTCCTACATAATAGCCAAAAGAAAAAAAAAAAGATACAAACTAAGCTAGTTAATTACTACCACACAATGAATGCTCTACAGCCACTAAAAACGATCACAGCCACTACAGCTATGGAGGTATATTTACTGGCATGGAAAGATATCTTCAATTACATTGTTAAGCAAAATGAGCAAACAACAAAACAGAATATACAGTATAATACCATTTTTTCCACTCCCTAATTCTCTATATTGATAGCTGTAACTCTGTATTTCATGCTTGGAATAGAAGTGATTATTCCTGGCTGGTGGTATCATGGGTGATTCAGTCTTTGTACTTTTCCTCCAATTTCTAGTTTTTTATCATTATTACTAGAGTACCAGTACAAAAGAAAAACAAGCTTTTTTAAAACAAAAAGTCATGTACCAAAAAAAACAGCCTGGGCTACATAACCAAGGATGAATGCAAAGACTGGAATAGTCCTATAAGGATGGCTAAAGATAAGAATAAGTTAAATATTTTGAAAAACATTAAAATGTTTAATATTGATTTTTTTAAAGAGATCATATCTAAACAAGAGTAAGTAAAAGCCTACTGGTTGAGGCACAACAGTATCACGCTAATAGATGAAAAAAGAAGACAACACAACAATCTCCACTTAGCATCTATTGTCCAGCTGGACAAGGGGTCTTCAAATAGGAAAAGTCACAGGAGTTGGCCCCACAAGGAACCGAAGCGGTGGTGGGAGAGCACCCAACCACTCTGGATGCGTCTGAGTCTCTGGGACCCAGAGGAATAATTGCCCAGAGTGTGGAAATGTCAAGAACATTACTACAAAATTGGGGCCAGCAATACGTGAGAAATCAGAGACCAGGTGAAGAGGGAGAAAACTGGAAAAAGCACCAACATCTGTTGTATTTGAGGAGTCAGATATAAAATCAAAATCTGGCTGCCTCTTCCTAGCTCTGCAACTATGTAGGCATTTTACTAACCTTTCTGAGCTTCAACTTACTGATTTCTAAAATGAAAATAATAACATATAACTCCCTGAGTGTTGGTGAGGAGTCAATGAAATAACATGTATAAAATGCCTAATTAGGTGCCATGCACCTAGGAGGCAGTCAGTCAATAAATAGCAGCTAGAGACATTTTTTTTTTTTGAGGAAGATTAGTCCTCAGCTAACTGCTGCCAATCCTCCTCTTTTTGCTGGGGAACACTGGCCCTGAGCTAACACCTGTGCCTATCTTCCTCTACTTTATATGTGGGACGCCTATCACAGCATGGCTTGCCAAGTGGTGCTATGTCCGCACACAGGATCCAAACCAGCGAACCCTAGGCCGCCAAAGCACAACGTGCAAACTTAACTGCTGCGCCACCAGGCCGGCCACTAAATACATATTTTATTAGAGGCTGGGTCTAGAAACCAGGCACCTAGATGTTTGGCCATATTTTAATCCTCAATTTACCATTCATAATTTAAATTTGAGATTCCAGATTTGTCAATAAGGAGCAAGTTACAAACACTGATGAGGCATCTGAAGGGCTGTACTGGGAAAAGGCTAGAAGGAGAAGAAAACTCCCTTCAGGGCCTGAGACTGGTGAAGAGCCACAACCCCTGGTCATCTAGGAAGGATTTCATTACCTTTACCAAGGGAAGGATTTTCCTTGGGGACAGTGACAACAAACAACAAACAGCAAGCTGCTCCACTTCTTACACTGATTCACAAGAATAAGCCAGGGACACGCAGTGCAGCCCTGGAGTCTCGTGCAAGCTTCTGGGACTCTTATTTCCAGGCTGCAAGGAAGCACTCGCAAAAGGGAGGGGCAGGAGGGATGGAGGTTAACAGCAATGCAGATCAGTTAAGAAACCTAAGAAGACACAATCCGGAAGTGAGAAGTATTTTCAGTAGATAGGGAAAGAAGAAAACAAAGCCCAAAGGCCAGGTCTGGCCTTCCATAAAAATTCTTTATCATTCCTGCTACAAATGTACTGACAGACAATTGAGGAGTAAGTTCACACGTAAAAAGAGAAAAAACTATGCAATTTGAACTATTATCAAAGACACTTGCAAATATTTTTCCACTTTTGTTTTTCTTGATATTATTTTCTCATTAGCTGCAAACACCATTTTCTCTAGAAGCTCACAGCATAGTGGTTACAAGAGTTTGCGTGCAGTCTCCACCATCACCAATGTGACCTTGCACAACATACATAAGCTATCTGTGCTTTAGTCTCCTCATCTGTAAAGAAAAAAAAAAAAAATACTCCTTTGTCCTAGGGTTGCTGTGAGGCTAGATGAGTTATATATAAATGCTTAGAACAATGTCTGGACACCAGATTTTTGTCTTTGTCTCCTTAAATTCTATACAGTTACATTACCAAGAAGAAGATTTTCTTTAAAAACTCCACTATAAATGAGAAGAAGAAATAATGTGTCTCTAGAGGCCTGAAATGTCTGATGGGTACAGAGAGGCCAGTCCCAGTTCCACTGATAGGATGACCGACAGCTATGCTGGCCTTCTATTCTCGCTGATAAGGCTGAAAACCGTAATGTTTTCCCACTCACCACGCACGGCTCAGAGTGAGATTTACACAGGAAGATATTCAATTAAGCATTCATTTAAAAAGTTTACTTTTATTTTCTGTTTTTGAATAGGTGATACACAGACTTGGTATAAAATTCAAATACTACGAGGTTTATAGGGAAAAGAGAATTTCCCTTCCTCTCCCGCCCCAGCTCCCAATTCCCTGTATCAGAGCTATGCTGTCATCTGATTCTCGTATCTTTCCAGAAATGAAGCATCATTTAAAAGAAGAGAAAGCAACAGCATATCCAACCAAGTGGTTATTATTTGTAATGACAAATGCTGTTAGGAGGAGCCTTTAATAGCATACAAAAGACTCTATACTGGGGGGCCGGCCCGGTGGCACAGCAGTTAAGTTTGCATGTTCCACTTCAGTGGCCTGGGGTTTGCTGGTTCGGATCCCGGTTGAGGACATGGAACCTCTTGGCAAGCCATGCTGTGGCAGGTGTCCCACATATAAAGGAGAGGAAGATGGGCACGGATGTTAGCTCAGGGCCAGTCCTCCTCAGCAAAAAGAGGAGGATTGACAGCAGAGGTTAGCTCAGGGCTAAGCTTCCTCAAAAGAAAAAAACAAAAACAAAAAACTCCATATTGCTAAGTGAAAAAAACTACAAAATTATATTTAAAGCATAATTCTATAAAAATGCACATTAAAAATATGAAAGAAACATGTCCAACCATCAGAAGTGGCTGCTTCAGTCTTCTGAAATTAAGGTTGAGTTTCTTCCCTTGTATCTGTCAACCTTTTTTTAAAGAAAAACTTTAAGGATATTCTAAACTGAACACCTATTTCATAACCAGGAAAAAAAATTACTCTGCTGTCATAGCATGTCCTCTTCTTTTTGTTACTTAATACTGCCACCAAACTTACAATTGTATCTGGCTTCAGAGCCTAACTATCTTAAAGGTTTTCCACTCTTACTATTTCCAAAATGGAACAGGGGAAAAAATACGTATGACTACTATAAAGCGACAAAGACTTTTTTTGTTTTAAACAAGCACTTTATGTCTTTTATCATCAAACGACTGTTACCCTTTTCAGAATAATCACTTTGGGAGACCACACACTTATTCTTAAAGTGAAAAACAGGCAAAACAGCATGATGTATTATTTTCGGAAGAAAGAGAATTTGCACCTTGGCACTGAGGCTCCACTCCCATCAGTTCAGGTAGGAAGGCTGGGGGGTGAGTGGGGGCGGGCTGACCGGGTTCCGCTGGGCTCTGGCCCAGAGTGTTCTGACACGGCCCGAAGCTCCTCCACCCCTTGTGCTAAAGAAGTGGGCACACGCATACAGATTCCCAGAGGTTACAACAGGCTGCGCATGGTGACAGAGGCCATCCCAGACTATTCCACAGAAAATATTCTTTCTCCAAAGCCACCATGGGGGCAGCAAACTCAATCTACCCTCTGGAGGTCGGCATTTCCTCTTTGGAGCTACTCAAAGTTTATACCTGCACTGGGACAAACAAGGAAGGGCTACGAGTTTGGAATATTTCTCCCTTGAAACCGAAACTAAGAAAAACACTGTGCAGTGGTCATGGCAAGTTCTCCCCGTGAACGCCGGGTCCAGACAGTGGGCACATAAGGCAGGGTTACCCTCACACCCCAACCTGACGCCAGCTCCTGGGCAGCCCCAGCAGACGAAGCCTCAGGGAGCAGGGCGTTTGTGACTAAACCAAAGGGCTATCTGGAGGCTGTGAACCTACGTTCTTCTCTTACACAGGGACTTGGACAGGGGAACTTACTGAGAGGTCAACAACAGTCTTGATGGCCTTTTCTTTTCTCTTGAGGAAGTCATCATCCTGTAAGACAAAACAAGGAATAAACAAATCTTGGGCGAAGACTGAAACGCACTGGACTGCTCAGACGTCGGCCCTATAAACCGACTTCCCGTCACTACCTCACCTGAACCAGTCTCAGTTTTCTAACAAACTGGAATACATTCTGCACGGGAAAAAGCTACCGCCTCTGCAGCTGGCTCCAAAACAGAGTTCTATAGTCAGAAAGAAAAACGGGGACCACTGAGTGCAGTGGTGACGACAAGTATTCTCATTTCAAATCCTTAGGAGCTCGGAAGCCTCAGGCAAGTTACCTAGCCTCTGAGCCTCAGTCTCTCCATCTGTAAAACAGGGACAGAAACACCTATGTCAGGGGGCCATCATGAGGATAAAGAGTAGAAGGCAGGTGATGTGCTGGGGCTAGAATGTAGTAAGCATTTCATAGTGTCCAGCTATTGTTGTTGTTGTGATTACCTTCCAACTGTTCCTCTAAGAATGTTCTAGGCAAGTGGTCTCTTGAAAAGCTTTATATGACTATAGAGAAATATACTCATGTTCTTATAATTTAATAAAAGTTCTGGATCAAGTACCAAAACTGACAGAAAAGGACAAAACCATAGGGGTTTCCACTCAGTGCCCATTTAAAGAGGCAGTTCTAGCGACCCAGGAGGCCCAGTCTCAGTGCTGCCCAGGCAGAGGCAGACATGCCACACAGGGGGTGGGAGCGCAGGGCAGCCTGCACTCACTCTGCTCCTTCTAAGTGTGCACCCATGCTCCCAGCTGGACAAGAAAAGAAAATGAGAACACTGACCTCAGGGAGACTGTAGGCCTTCTGGAACTGGGACACAGAGTAGGAGCGGATGTAGTCACCCATCTCTTCTTTTGTTTCTATAGCTCGCTTCACCAGCCACTGCAGAAGAAAGTTAGGAAACGTGAGCCGATGGGGTGAAACACCACTGCGGTGAAGGCCAACTCAGAGATGGCACCACTCGTGAACCCAAATCACTGTCCTTGAACCGACCAAGTGACGACAAGCTATCAACACACACTGTCCTATAGGAAAAGCAACTGGCTTAGCGTCTGAGATGCTAAGATCCAGTGGGACCTAGAGCTGAGCAGCTGTGCAGGAGGAGCCTCACTTCAGAGCCTCAGGCCTCAGTTTCCCTCTCCATGTAAAGTGAAACTGAGAACGTCAGTTCCTTTCACCTCACAGAGCTACTGTGGGAGCTAATGAAACCACATGTACTAGAGTGCTTTGTAAATACCCGAAACATAACACAAATGCAGCTATCCCCACAACCTCCTGGTTATAGTGATCGATCTCAACGTCATTCTTTTTCCTGCTTCTTGCACCACAGACCAGAGAAAGGGGAAGAACCAGAGAGAACCCCTAGTATAACCCTCAACTGACAGATGAAAAAACATCCCCAAACTACTCAGATGTGAGAACAGGGTGTACTGAGTACACAGCCTTGGGCTTCGGGTTAGCTTGGCACTCACAACATTCTCTCTCTCAAACCGCACAATGCTACAAGGTGGCTGGTACTGGCCGCGATGACAGAACCTGAAGCTCAGAGAGACTACGTAACTTGCCCATTGATCCACAGCTAGCAAACCACAGAGCTGGGCGTCACAACTCACAGGCTCTTCCACACCAGAAGACTGGACATATGGGCTTCATTAAATGTTTCCCAGCTCTTTTGGGCTGATGTGCAAAAGGAGGTGTTTCTCCCTACCTCAAACTCCAGTTAATTAAAACACACACATACACACACCCACACCCCATAACCTGTGGAAGATTCCAGTGCTCTGAGGGTAAGAACCCAAAGTCAAATAAGAGCCTTTGTTGTCCTCCCCTGGCTCTTCATTCAATTCCTGTACTACTGAAGAGCATTATGGAGGGGGTGCCATCTGTCAGGCTTGCCATTCTCTCTCCAGAGAGAGCCACTACATCTCAAAAGCAGTTTTTGGACAGTAGTTGTGTTTCCCCAAGAGCACAGCCACACGTGGCAAGGTTTAGCTGCCTAGGAAAGCAGACACGTGGCATGCTGCATGGCGCTCCCACAGGGACAGGAAGAAATGCTTGATCACGGAGGGCAGCCAGCTCCAGGAAAGGACACGTTTAGGAAGTGGCTGCCCAGGATAGGGGCGGCTGCAAATATCTATATAAGGAACATTCTTTTGTTGTCAGCATCTTCCATTTATTTCCATCACTCCACTCCACCCCATCTCCAAACAACCACCTCAGGCACGGACAAAGCCAGAAGCAGGGGCAGAGGATGAGACCACACTCAGAACTACGGTAGCTCCTAACTTGCACCCCTACCCCAGCACCACAGCCCCAGACAACTAAGGAGGCTGACACTTGCTCAAGTCAATTTGTCTCTGCTTTGCTTTGGATCCACAGATCCAGTTTCTGGCCTTTCATATTTGTTTCCTTTTCCCTTAATCAGATCTACCCAGAATTATCACTTGGTGGGATGCTGGAGAGTGTGATCAGATAAGGAAGGTAAAGCATGTTGAGTCATAGGATTCCCACACACAGTCCAATACTGTTTTGGAGTTCCCAGCATGAAGGGCTGTGGAGGGAACCTCTTGGACAGCCAAGCTCTGCCACAGCTCCCTGGCATTCGAGAAAAATAGCTACCCTCACAGGATACACATCCCACATGGGAGAAAAAGATGTGACCTAGAATACCAATGGCTGGAAGTTAGACCCGTTTTTCTCCCGGCTGGCATTCGGAGTGTGTTACTGTAGCTTTGTAAACGGTGTGAACAGGGGGGATGAGTCTCGAGCCCGGCACAAGACAACGAGTTCAATGGTTCCCAACTGCTGGTCCGTGACTATCCTTGCACTGGTCTCCAGCAAAACAGGAAAAACTAGAGGCATGTGGTAAGCTTTTCAGGATGCTAAAGGTATTCAATTTGAAGGACTGTCCTTTATTTTAAGATTGGGAGTTAAATGGCTTTTCAGGAAATGATAGAGAAACTAAGAGCAGTTACTTTTAAAAAGGCCCTTGCCTGGCAAAATACAGATGGCAACCATAGGTCAACCTCCATTTTTGCTTTAAAATTTTACTGGTCCATGAAATTAAGAAATCTGGTAACCAGCAGCCTAGACTCTCACATCCAGACAGGAAGCCCCCCAGCATTCAACTCACAACACGGAACATTCACAGACACTCAAAATGCCCAAACCAAATGCAGAAGATCACTTCCTTTTCACCCTCTTCTCATATCTAGAGTAGATTCTTTGCCCTCAAAGTTCTAGCATGGGGCTGAGGAAGGTCTAATCACTAGAGATCCAGGCTTTGGGGGAAAAGGCAACAACTTCACAGAATGACAGTGTTGGAGGTTTTAGTAATAACACAGGGGCCCAACTTCCTAGTTTCACAAAAAGGATCAGGTACCGTCCCTCTGCATCAGACAAAAAGTCTAACAAAGACACAAATCAAATTCTGAGTTAACGTCTTGGCCTCAAATCTACAAATTTCATTTACAAATTTACAAATTTCATGGTATTTGATTTGAAGCCTAGTGCCCGGGAAGATTCCCAACAACAGCAACAACAACAGAAACAACTATAACATTTATAAAGCACTTCCTAAAATATGCCAGTCCTTCAGCTAAGTGCTTTACACATATTAACTTACTTAATTCTCATCTGATCAGGTAGGTACTACTATTATTTCTATTTAAGAGATGAGAAATTAAGTCATTTGCCCAAGGTCACACAGGTAGAAAGGGGCAGAGCCTAGATTTGAACCCAGGAAATCTCCAGGGTCCACGCCCTTAACCCCTACACTATATAATCTTAACACAGAATTAGAAGACTTTTCCAGCAAGGGATGCACAGCTTTCTTCTCTGTGGCTGCATGAATGGTGGAGTGGGAAAATACAAGGCCTGGAGACAGGAAGTTTAGACTGGAATCTTTGCTTCTCCACTCACTAGTTCTCTGCCCTTAAGCAAATCAATTATTCCCCTTCTGAGTCTCACTTTCCTCAGATATAAGACTAGGATTATAACAGATGCTTCAAAGAACTGTATTAGGATCAGATGCAAAGTACTGCTCACAGAGGTAGCCAACAAAGGTGAATTCCTTTGCTCCTTCTCTTTTCACGGAGCCTGGAGGGCAGGCTGAGACACAAGAACCGTACGGTATATATAGTGAGCTTTACACCACAAGCCACTTAATCACAGAGTCTTGGGGAAAGGCAGGGTTCAGACAGGTCTCTCATCAGACATGTAGTCATCAAATAAGGACTGAATGCCTACAAACTGCCAGACATTCTGTAAGGTGCTAGAGAGACAACAGTGAGGATGACAGCCATAGTGCCTGTCCTCATGAAGCTTACAGTCTGATGGGAGAGACAGGTAATAACCAGACACTTGAACATACACGGTTACAAACTGCAGTAACGCAGGTTTCCTGTGAAGGAAGGGAATGTGGCCATATGAATAGACAGAGCAAAGGAAACTGTCCTAGATTAGAGGGTCAGGGGAAGCTTTCTTGAGGTTTGGGAGAACTGAGATCTGAATGATGAATATGAATTCAGCGGGTAAGGAGAGAAGAGAACAGCTTTCCAGGCTGAGGGAAAGAACAAAGAAAAGTAAGGAATAAAATGAGACTGGACAGGTCGGAAGAGATCAGAGCACGGGGGGGGGGGGGGGGGGTACAAAGTTCTATCTTTACCACAAGGGCAATGAACAGTGACTGATGGGAACATTCAAAGATTCTAACAGGTGACGCTGTGCAACTAGGGTAGATGGAGTATTGGCAACCTTTTGAGGATGACATCAGGAAACATCATCACATTCTGCTGCCAGCAAATCCATACCACACCCAGGATCTGGGCCAGATGGCCCAAGAGCCAGACCTGTTACAGGAATTCTGACATTCAGAGGACAAGACACCACACAGAGGCTCTCACCTGAATAACAGGAAATATGTGAATAAAATCCATCCCTTGGATCTGGTGGGGCTCCAGCTGGTGGGGACATTGCATCCTTGGCAGGACTGAGACGATTTTCTCTGATAGTGCTCTGTTTGGAAAACACAACAAGCAAAGAGTGAGAACACACTCAGTGGCCCTTAAGACATCTCTCAAGTCTGGGCAACATGCCAGAAGAATCCAGGGCTTCTCAATGCCAGACCAGTGCCAGACTATGACCAAGTTTCTCCTGGATGACTGCAAAATGAGAAAAATAAACACAATTTAAATGTGAGTGTGTGTGTGCAAGCAAGGCCAAAAAACTTCCTTCATCCTTTAAGATTGTGTTCTTCCTTTTTTATATGAAAATATTTTGTTTCTTTATGAAATTATAGTTATGTTAGAGATACTACCTATTTTTTTAACATCCTTACACGGTAAAATAAAAAGTTATCAGTGCCCCATATTCTTTTGCATTTCATTTTACTGACCTACTTCTTCCAAAAGTCTGTGAACCACTAGGGTCCCACATTAAAAAAATTGTTCTAAATATCATTCAGGCAACAAATAATTACCAGACCCCGTGCCAGGTGCCCAGAATATTAAGACAAATCATGAGGTCTCAGTCTTAAAAAAATTTGGAGTTCTCTACTCTGGTACAAAAGTATCTTTAAAATAAGAAAATAGCTTTTAAGTTTTTTGATACTCTAAAATTAATCCTACATTTGGGGGAACCATGTCTCCTCACTCTTCTTTCCAGAGAAGAGAAACTCTGCACTTCTCAGGAGGGACACTGTGATCTGTCTGCAACACCTTGCCTCAGTCCTCCTCCAATGAAATGGCTGGGAGAAGGGGGGAACCGGGCTCCTGAGGTCCCAGACACTCTTCTGCCTCGGTCAGGAGGTAACAGCCTGCTGGGGCGGTTTCTCGGCTCCGCCTGGGCCTGGGCAGGACAGTTTTATGGCAGGAGCGACAGAGGGACTTGTGTGCACGTCCATCTCATCACAAACTTAAGCCTCCTTCTTTAATCAGCTGATATTTGATCTCCAACTGTCTGGTTCCTGTTTCTTGTATCTTAACTGGATCAGATTCAAGAGGAGAGAGAAGTTATTTAGTAGGTCTGCTAAACCCCAAGGCCATGGTACACGGACCGGGAACCTTGAGAAACAGTCATGAGGCACAGTCTTACGGGGCCATAGAGAGAAACAGAGACTTCTGGCTCAGCCTACATGGATAGTTTAGGTTATACCCCCATCTAGGACCCTTTAAAAAATCTTAGCCAGTTACAGCAGCTACTGTGGCCTTGTTTACAACTACAGGTCTATTTTCTAATAAATGAAGGCCCTGGTAAATAAGGTTACCAGGTTTTCCTAGATGCTCCAAATTCAACAAGTTTTGGGTCTACCAAAAGTGTTCTCTGTTCAAAGAAATTTTGTGCATCTTTATCTTCCTGCAGTTCCATAATCCTCCCCAGGAGACAGACAGCCTTTGGACCAACATCTAACTCGGGCCTGGCTGAGAGCCATTCTTATCTCACCTGTTCCCCTTAACAGGGTTCAGCCCCTCAGTCATGGCAGGAACTAAGTAATCTAGGGACAAAAGCTGAACGGCTTTCCAGGGAACGGTCCCCAGAGAACACACTCTGAAACCATGTTTATACCAGGAAAGTGGCTTTACAAGGTGGGACCAAGGTTAAACTGCTGAGGGAAACAGTCACCCCCCAGCTCTACTGATCATACGATCAAATGTCAAGTCCAATATGTTAAGAGAAAAAAACAAAACATGGAGAGGGGAAGACTGACACCCCACAGGAGGGAGCATCCACTCCCAGGAGGGACGCCTATGGGAGAACAACTTCACCCCCAGCAGAAACCGGGGAGGCAATTTATCCAAAAGGTCCGAGATGGAAAAGGAAAGTATCATGTGGCTCTCAGCCGCCCCTGGGGCCCCTCCTTCCTGAGAGCCTGTCTTCTGCCATGAGATGTGCAGCCCGCTCCAGTGGGGAAGTCTGCGGTTGTCCAGCTCTTCCTGGGGCTCCAATGGGATAGTCTGGTAGGGAAGTATTAACAAACCCATTTGGCAACATATCAAAGTCACTCTCTCTGATAAGCTTTATTTCTATTTTGATTTCCTTCAGACTCCCATGCCCTGTTTCTTTAAAATTTGTCAGGGGAAGAGATGGGTGCTTACTTGGCCCTGCTTCCCAAACTTGAAGCTTAGCAAATGAAGATGATTACCAACTCTGGTTTTGTGTCCTTGCTCAGCGCAGGTCTTAACTACACATGTGGGGCCACCTTTCCTCATAATTAGATTTTGGTTCAGCGGGAGGAACACTCCCTCTAGTGGCTACAGGTCTACGGGGCTGCATAGAGTCACTGATTGCCTAGAACCATTCAGTAGCTTAAAAACAAGAGGCTGGGACTCCCAACACCATCCAGCCTAACCCTCTACCTTCAGACAAGGTTCTCCCTGGCCACTTCTCAGGGACAGCCTACTCTTCCAGTTCATAAAGGCCCCGAGGGAAGACTGTCTCAGGTCATCTCAGGGTTTACAACCCTCTTAAACCAGCCTCCCAGAAATTACAGTGTACTGAAACAGCTGAAGGCACTATCACTGCCAGGGGTGGGGGGTGGGGGAGTGGGGATGGGGGATGTGGGTGAAACACAGGCAGGCTGGGGGCAGCGGGTAAAAGTCAGAAAGACTTCTTTCAAAAACCCACCATTCCCCATTTGGCTTCTCCCTGGAGCTCAGGGTGAATCCTCTGACTTTCTGAAAATCAGGGAAAATGACAATTGCAGAGGTCACCAGGCAGGTTTCCCAGCCTAAGATTTTAACAGGCCCACCTGTCATTACAGGTTTTAGTTTTAATAAGCGTTAAGTGCACTGTTTCCTCCTCCACTGCAAACAGTTTGAGAGAGTGAATTAAACCAGTATCTAAAGTCCAGCTCTATCACCTACTCTGGGACTTGTGGCAAGCCCCCTGGTCCCTCTGGTCCAATACTCCCATCATAAAATGAGGGACAATCCCTGTCCTATCTATTCAAAGGTTGTCATGAAGATTAAATAACAAAATGCGCGTCCAAGTGCTCTGCACACAAGTGACTAGCAAACGTGTGTTGCTGAAATGAACTGTTACAAGCCTAAAATCTCATTTATGGACCTCTGAGCATAGGACCATGCAGTAAATGGGGCTTTCGGCAGGTTGGGGATGGAGGGTAGAAGCTCATGGAACCCTCGAGCAAGAAGGATCAAGAAGGAGAACAAGGCCCCCAACTGGACACGTACAGAAGACAGCCTGAAAGATACTCATGCCCTCAGGAGGCAAGTGCGCTCCTGAGACAGAGCTGCCTGGCCACCGTCACATCAGCCAGGATGTAGGAAGGCACTGCAGACATAGGCAGCATTAGTCTAAAATGCACCTAACCTCAAACTGGGTGGGCAGGAACCCAAAACAGAGAACACATTCCAAATACAAACAGAAAAGATTTTGGGATAGTGCCGTGTGGCTATGACATTTCTCCTATAATGTGATGCCCTGCTGGGAGCCTGGTGGGTCTTTAGTCATGCAAACCCCGTCCCCAGCTTCGCCCCACAACTATAGTTCATGGCTCTGCACTTAAAAGCTGCACTCTCAAGTACCTACCAGAGAACATAATACATCCTTAACCCCTTTTCCAAACCCTTTGGGGCCAGCTGCATTTCAGAATTCAGAATTGTTTAGAAGTTTGCCCCTTAGTGTACCTAAGGGACATACATTATGCATCATGTAGAACCCCAGTGAAGTCTAGTCCAATACCCTATAATCAAAGAAATTAATATTTCTGTAGCAAAACTCATGAATATTCACATAAGTGGGATCAATAAAGACTATAAATAGCCTTAAATCAGTTCAGGTCATGTTTTGTTTCCAAATAAGTTTTGTATCCACGCTTAAAAAGAAAAAAACCACCATTTTCAGTGTTTTTCTTAGATTTCAGAAATATGAATAAGGGATTGAGAAGCTGTATAAAAAACACTATGCTCCAATATCTTTTAAGAGTACTGTCACTGATGGGAAGGTATCATAACCCCCAAGGACACCAAGGTGAAAAAAGGGCTAAGAACCACTGTAAAACTCCAAAGGAATTTAGGAAGGAGAGATACGCAGAATCTAAGAAATAGTAAGACTAGCCCCGAAAGAATGCAATGGAAAGAAGTCCCAGCGCATCAGGGGTGCCACAGGTGTAAGAAGCAATGAGCTCAAATTGGAACAGAAAGAGGCTTCCGTCAAGAGTGTCTTCAAGACAGTGAATCATGTTAGTAAACAGACTGATTAAGAAGCTGGCTCATCTTAGCTACAGATAAAGGTATGGGCTTCTTTGTCAACAAGAAAAAAAAGGCAATCAGAAACTCAAGGAAAAAACGTGCATAAATATGAAGTAAATTACTGTGTGCCTGATTTTCAGTGATGCATAAAGGCCATCTCCACTCGCTCGGGCCAAGTACCTCAGAATCATCCTCGACTCCCTTCTTAACCCCAAATCCAATCTGTCGAAATCCTGTGGGCCCTACCTTCAGAACAGATCCAGAATCCCACCACTGCCAGCTCACTGTCCAGGCCACCACCTGCGCCTGTGAGGATGACGACAACGCGCTCAAGTCTCCCAGATTCCACCGTCACCCCCTGAATTCAGTAATCAGAGGGGTCCTTCTACAACAAAGAACAGACGAGGCTCCTCTTCTCTCAAAGCCCACCAGGGATATCCTATCTCACCCAGAGTAAACCCAAGTCCTCACGTTGACCTGCAAGGCCCTACTTGATCTGGCCCCCATGACCTCTCTGCACCTGCCTCCTAGCGCCACCTCCTCCTCACTCCACTCCAGGCAACCTTCTGCTGAGGCCTTCACACTGGCAGTTCCCTTTGCCTAGAAGACTCTCCCCTCAAGTCTTAGCCCTGATATCATCTACTCAATAAGGTCTACACGGACTCAAAACTGCAACTGCCTCCTACCCTGTGTCCCTCCTCATACTTCTTCCCACGTTTAATTTTTTCCATACATTACTTCTTTTTTTTTCCCCTTTTTGCTGAGGAAGATTCTCCCTGAGCTAACATCTGGTACCAACCTTCCTCTACTTTGTATGTGGGTCGTTGCCACAGCATGGCCACCAACAAGCGATGTAGGTCCAGGATCCAAACCCGGGCCACCGAAGCGGAGCATGCCGAACTTAAACCACTAGGCCACAAGGCTGGCCCCTAGATATATTACTTCTATATATAGTTTACTTATTTGCTAAATTAGTTGTTTATGGTCTATCTCCTCCAATAGACTCTAAGCTCCAGGAGGGCGGACATTTTTCATTAATGTATCCAAAGTACCCAGAATAATGCCTGACACATAGCAGGGGCTCAACAAATATTTGCTGAGTCAATGAATAAATGAAAAGAGATTCTTTTGACTGTGATATTTTGAATATTCCCCTTTAAACAACACCATTATGGTCCAGATTACATTTCCTTTTCTTGGACCCCATTACAATTCTTAGTTCTTTTCTTTTCAGGTGAAGATTGGCCCTGAGCTAACATCTGCTGCCAATCCTCTTCTTTTTGCTGAAGAAGACTGGCCCTGAGCTAACATCCGTGCCCATCTTCCTCTACTTTATACAAGGGACACCTGCCTCAGCATGGTTTGACAAGCAGTGCATAGGTCCACACCTGGGATCTGAAGCAGTGAACCCTGGCCGCTGAAGCAGAGCGTGCGAACTTAATCGCTGCGCCACCAGGCCAGCCCCAATTCTTAGTTCTTATTGTAAACACTGCTTATAGATTTACTTTTAGAATCTACATGTAGATAAAGCATGGACAATTTAATTGCTATTATAGAAGACACTATAAATATGATACACTGAACATTATAAAAGTTTTTTTTGATGGTGTATGGAGGCTGAAAGGTAGAAGGAAAGACAGAGATATGAAAACATCTACTCTACGTCGTTAGGAACCAGGAGAAACTATACTATATTAACGTGTCAAGAAATAGAAGCTTAAGTAGATTAAAATTATACAAGTAATCAGAGAAAAACAGATAATGATGACAAGACCAGAAGACGAAGGGGAGGTAGTGAGTAGTCCAGGCAAGCTGATTTCCTCCGCCCATCAAACCTGAATGAAACAGAGTGCATACACAGTTGGAGATGGAGAAGTGACTTCTCTGAAGGATCTAAAACCTAAACAGTCAAAGATGATTCTCTCCAGGGAATAAAACTGGGCTGTAGAATGGGAAGGGGGACAGACATCAGCTGTATATTGTGTTCCCTTTGGCAGTATTTGAATTTTTTTTCTAGCTTCATGGATGTAACACCTACATAATAGAAGAAAAAAAACACAATGAAAATCCACCTCTGGATTCAGCCCAATCAGCACAGAGCAGCCCACACACCTGGACTGCCTCCCCGGGAAGGACTCTGCACTGTAGGTCGCTGGATGCGATGCCACAGTCCCGGAACGACATTAGAGACGTAGAGCCCTGCTACTCACGGCTGGGCACCAATGAGCACAGTGTCACAGACAACAATATGTCCTCTCTAATGAGGAGCCAAGGGATGTCCTTTGGTCTTAGTATTAAGACTTTTGGTGATTCTGTGGGACTGATTTTTTCTTCTACTGAATGGAAACTGTGAATCGCGTATGTTGTCATGTATTTCTCTCTTCATTAGCTGCCAGAAAGCTTAGAGACAAATCTGTGGCCCACCCTTAGGAAAACAAGGCATTTTGTGGCCTGTCACAAATGTGGCAGCCTTGTCCCCAATTCTATTTTCTCTCCTCTTGCTTTGCTTAGCCTTCGCTTCGGCTTCCCATTACTACTGCTTCATGTGCATATTTGTGAACATCTTCAATCCATTTGGAAGTGTTTTTTCTTGGGGGAGGATAAGGCTTCAGCAAAATGAAAAGATAAATCACAAACATATAGATCTGGGATCACAAATCCTTCTTCTTACAGATAAGGGAACTGAGGCCTGCCCAAGGTCACACAGCGGCCGACTGGCAGGGCTGGGCAGAACGGGGATGCTAGATGGTCTAATGAAATCACCAAGCCCCTGGGGAGCTATGGAAGACTAGGCGGGGTACCCTCCGGTGAAATCTCTAGCAAGGAGCCTATGCTGCCTTCTCTGGATGACAGGAAAAGTGAGGCTCTGCCTCACACAGAGGCAATGGGGATGGAAAGATTCTCCTTTCTCCATCCTATTCAACTTCGATCCAAATTAATTGCCTTGGAAACAGAGATAATCTAAGCAGTCACTAGAAACTCTGATGAAGGAAAAGTATCAGAGCTGCTGAACATCACTAACCATCAGGTAAATGCAAATCAAAACTACAACGAGATGTCATCTCACATCTGCTAGAATGGTTATCAGCAAAAAGACAAGAAATAACAAGTGTTGGTGAAGATATGGAGAAAAGGGAACCCCTGTACACAGCTGGTGGGAATATAAATTGGTGCAGCCACCATGGAAAACAGTATGGAGGTTCCTCAAAAAATTAAAAATAGAACTACCGTATGATCTAGCAATTCCACTTTTGGGTACATATCCAAAGAAAACAAAATCACCATCTCAAAGAAATATTTGTATCCTTATGTTCATTGCAGCGTTATTCACGATAGCCAAGATTTGGAAACAACGTAAGTGTCCATCCATGGACAAATGGATAAAAACGACGTGGTGTATGTGTGTGTGAGTGCGTGCATTATATATATATATATATATATACACACAAGCGAACATTATTCAGCCGTTAAAAGGGAGAAAATCCTGCCATTTGCGACAACATGGCTGGACCTTGGGGGCATTATGTTGAGTGAAATAAGTCAAAAAGAGAAAGGCAAATACTGTATGATCTCACTTAAATGTGGAATCTCAAATAACTGAACTCACAGAAACCGAGAATAGATGGGTGGTTGCCAGAGGCAGGGGGTGAGGCGTGGGGGAATTGAGTGGAGGCAGTCAAGAGGGACAAACTTCCAGTTAATAAGATAAATAAGTTCTTGGGATATCACGCACAGGATGGTAACTATAGTTAACAATAATATATCGTATATTTGAAAGTTGCTAAGAGAGAGATCTTAAAAGTTTTTATTCCAAGACAAAAAATTTGTAACTATGTAAGGTGATGGATGTTAACTAAAACTTGTGTTAATCATTTCACAATACATACGTATATCAAATCATTATATTGTACACCTTAAACTAATATAATGTTATATATCAATTATATCTCAAGAAAACTGGAGGGAAAAAGTTAAAAAACAAGGGGGCTGGCCCCACAGCATAGTGGTTAAGCTGGGTGCACTCTGCTTTGGTGGCTGGGGTTCACAGGTTCAGATCCCAGGTGCAGACCTACACCACTTACCAGTCATGCTGTGGCAGCAAACCACATATAAAATAGAGGAAGACTGGCACAGATGTTATCTCAGGGCCAATCTTCCTCAAGCAAACAAAGAGGAAGACTGGGAAGAGAGGTTAGCTCAGGGTGAATCTTCTTCAGCGAAAAAACATAAACCAAACAAAAAGAGCAAATGTTAGAAATAGCCTGAACATTAAATGACTCTTAGATGCTAGCTGTGACTTTGGCTTCTATCAGCTTCAGTTTCACAATCTGTAAAACCGTGATAACACTTGTTGTTATGAAAATTAAGATAAAATACATAAAGCATCTAGCAGAACTTTCAACTCATAGTAGGCAATCAAAATTAGCTCCCTTCCCCCCTTTAGGTTCTCCCATGGCAAACCAGGATAACTTACATTTTTTGACCTATTGTAGAGTTTTCCTGAAAGAGCAAATCAACGTCTATGTCAAAGTTGCATGTGGTAATGCACCAAGTCATTCCTCCTACTACCTGCAAGACAGAAAGAAAATATCTGTTTTCTCTTTCTAGTTTGGGGAGAGGAGAAAAGTAGAAGGTAGAAAAAATATAAGTAGTTCTTACAGACTCAGTGAACATACAAAATTACATATCTTTAGAGAGAGAGTATATGTGTCCTTCTGACTCCATCAACTATAATTCATCGAAGACAGCACTGCTGAATAAAACTTTCTGCAATGATGGATATGTTCCATATCTGCATTGTTCAACATAGTAGCTACTAGCCACATGAGGTTACTGGTCACTTAGAATGTGGCTAGTGTGACTGAGAAATTAAGCTTTCATTACTAAATGGACATACCATTCACAGGTCCTTTTTATACTGAAGGGGACAGACATTAACTCTCAGCCAAGAGAAGTCTTAATTCAATTTCAGGCAAATGCCAGACTGCAGAAGAATTATGTGTTTTATAGACCAGATATGTGAGTAGCAAGGCTGACATTCTGTGACTCATTACTTAATTTCCATGTATCTTATTTTTTCCATCTACCTAAACGCAATGAGAATCCCTGCTCTACTTTCTTCGCAAGATTTCTCTGAGATGCAAATGAGATGAAGGCTAAAAATCCATGTTGCAACACAATCCTTAAGATACAGCTTGATGTTAGAAAAAACAATAGTGAATCTTCTCCCTGGCTGTTTTAGACCCTTGTGAGATGCCTAATAAACACAGATTCGAGGCCCCAGCCCAGACCTAACTAACCAGAATTTCAATGGGTGAGGCCTGGACATCTGTATTGTGAAACAATCCACAGCGATTCTGCTATGTGCAGCCAGGACTGTGGCCCACTGGCTCACTCAACACTTTCTTCCACCAGGAAGCTTTCCTGGCCTGCTCTGTCTGATCTGGATGCTTCATTTCTGTGCACAGTTCACTGCAGCACTTACTGCATCATGCCATCCATTCTATGAGTGTTGGTCTACTTGTCTCTCTTCCCTATTCCATAGAAATCGGGCTCTGAGTACAGGGCCTTCGTCTTATCTCGCTGCCCTCGACACCTATTACTATGCCTTGTACATAACAATTGTTCAAGGTTCTGCTGAATTAAAAAATTTCATCCTGTAGTGACTTCTCCCTCTTCCAAACTCAGCATTTACCATCCATAGAACATCTGGCAATTGTCTGTGAGCACAGTGACTTTGGAAAGCTCCTTACTAACTCAGATTATTTTATCATACACAAGCTTTACCTCACCACCCAAACTATAACTTCCTTCAAAGGATGAACTATTAGTTTTGCCTCTTTGCACTTCCCAAAGCTTTGTACATAGAAAAGGAATTCAAGGCGTCTCTACTGATATATTGTTATTTCCTTTTAATAGGACATTTGAACACTTCCATAAGCAATCTGAATCAGGGAGAAATGGAAACGTGCACTTGGACAAAGTAAAAACAGAATCTCTTCCTCTCTTTTTCTCTGCTATGATTAACCATGCCATCTTGACAAAAGACAGCCTAATGGTTAGGAAGAGTTCCTCTTACCTTGTCAAAAGGTGACAAGCCTTTAATTCTTGCCCTGAAATACCCAGCTGCAACCAAGAGCTCCAAAATTTCAGTCAACTTGACATTTTGTTCTTCATCTTCTCTTGTTTCTACCTAAAAAAAAAAGTAAAAGTTAGGCTAGTAAAAGCTACTTTGAATAAAGGAAATCCAGGTACATCCCCCGATGCCACAAGCTCATTGCCAAGAAGCAGGTGACACCTGGCTGTATCACTGTATTCATGCAGGAGCACGGGGACACAGTGCTGCCAGAGTTGCAAAGAACAGGGTCCCCAGGCCTCAACAAGCTGTTAATCATCATAGGTGGGGAGAAGATACACAGAGATAGTACAGACTTTTCCTCAGGTGCCAAAGGAACCCAGGGGAAAGGAAGATCACAGCATGTAGCCTCCCTATGCTAACACATGGTTTACTTGATGGGCTTCTTGACTAGATTATAAGCTCCTTATTGACAAGAACAAGGTGGGTTTTTTTTTTTTTTGAGGAAGATTAGCTGTAAGCTAACAACTGTGCCAATCTTCTTCTACTTTCTATGTGGACTGCTGCCACAGCATGGCTGACAAGTGGTGTAGGTCCACGCCCGAGATCCAAACCCATGAACCCAGGCCGCCAAAGTGGAGCACACCAAACTTAACCACCACACCATGGGGCCAGTCCCTCTGCACTTCTCTTTTTGATCTCTAAAGCACATGGAAGGAAGGCTTTCAACCCAGATATATTAAAGGGCGATTATTTCCACATAAAAGGATTGCCTTAAAATAATAAATTCACCTAATATATTTAAATAGGAATTTGATTTAAAAATTTTAATTATATTCTACCTTCACTCCCAGGTGTTTATCTACAAGTTAAATATATCTAAATACTCTAGTACTTTTGCCTCCCTTTACTTTCATGAACTGTGCCTTTCACACTTCCATTATTGCAGAAAATCAGAAACCACTCTCTATAAAACAGCACCAACGGATCCTGGTTCAAATCCTCGTACCCACCTCTGCCTACTCCCTTACCTCACAGGCCTGTTAAATCTTCCTTTACCATGCACCTCATGCTTATCCTCCCTCCCCTGTTTACACTTCACGCCAGGACTATTGCAACTGCCTCTCAACCTTTCTTCCCTGTTAATTTGTTTTGCTCATTCCTTCTTAAATCCCAGCTTTCACATCATCTCACTTTAGCTCACCCCCCCTGCCCTCATCATTAATGCACCATACACTGTCTATAAGATAAACTCCAACTGTCTTGGTTTGGCTTTCAGCTCTCTGGCCATAACTTTTCCTTTTGGCTTCGTCCTTTACCTCCTCCCAAAACAATCCACACATGGCTATGGCCAACCTAGGCAAGCACTGCTCATTCCCATTTCTTCACTGTTCACACCACCCCCCTTCTCCTCATATTCTCTAACCACCAAGAAACCACCTTCAAATTCCAGCTCCTATTCAACACCAACTGACAAATACAGGCTGACATGGTCATTCCCCTGCATTTCTATTTTATTTATAGTCCATGCCATTCATACAATTAAGTATCAACCTACACTAAGTGACGTGTCTGGTGTTAATGTACATAGTTGTCTTTCTAACTGGACTATTAGCTGGTTCAGGAGAGGACTATAAATTATTCACCCATGTTTACTCCTCTGCTCTGAAACAGCACTAGCCTCAAAGGACACACTTATTAAACACGGAATGATGTGCTCAATCATTACATAAAGTGCATGACCTAAGCCAGTCATGGATTAACAAAATGTCTTCACAGTATGACACTGACAATGGAAATTCCAGTTTATTTTGAAGCACTAACTGCCAGGAGAGGGAGCACACATATTAACATACAGTTGAACATGGAATTGCTGAAGTGACAGATCATCCCTGCGATGGGAGGTGGTAGAGGTGACTGCCTGGCACAACTGCTCATTTGACACCTCTCCCTCTCTCAAATGACCCTGATCCAGCCTATCAGAGATTCTGAAGGTCAGCATTCACTGATTCCTAATGCACGTGCAAAAAGAAAGTAATATTAACTATTCACACCTTTTCTTCCTTCACAAAAGATCTGGGATGGTTGAGAAATATCTACAGGTGGAGAAATCCAAAGAAAAGAGAAGGTAAAGAGTAGTATGGGTCACAAAGATAGAGTAGAAAAAGAAAATGGGCTGATATAAGCATTGTCTGGAAACTCTTGGCATGTAAAACAGGAACCCTTCATTTGTTCAATCATCATTTATCATGAAAACACTTCCAAAAAGAGGACAATCCATTACAGGAGGACCACCTCTGTTTCAATTTGTACCTAATGAGCACCCACTGGCCACCGCACAGCAGACGCATGGCCCATGCCTCTCGTCCACTCACCCCCAAAATGGAGAAGTGGACTTGCGCAATCTAATCTGTGAAATAAATTTTTGGCACAAGACCCAGAGTGAGAATGCTAATACAACTCCAACTTCACCTCACAGATTAACACTGAAACAAAATGGAAAAGGGCCACTGACTAACACACAGGGAATGAAAGAATACTCTCTCTCAAAGCAGTAAAAAGTCACCAGGCTGGTTAATCCATCTATTTGTTGAAACTAAAATTCTGACAAAGACGCATGACTGTGAGCTCTTAAACCAGGCACACTGAAGTTTCAATTGCCCTCTACTGTATTCAGGTAAGCTGGAAAGCAAGGCTAGGTCTAGCCACCTTTCTGTCCTTCACATACACACAGTAATGGGTTTAAAAAATTGAATTTAATAGGTTAACAGAACTAGTATCAGCTTAACAACACAGACGATCCATATTCATATGTACTGGTCTTTGAACTGAATGATAATCATTTGATTATATTCACCCTGTCTGCCTCCTATTTGCCAGGAACTGTCTTAGGCTCTTGAGAAGTGACACATCAGACCCAGCCCCCAGCAGTCAGAGAAGGGTTTAACAAAGGACACAGAGGAGCAGGCTACCTTTCATTTTACAAAGAACCCCACTGGTAGTACTGTGGGACACTGAATGGGAGAGATTTAAGACAGAATCTGAGAGAGCAGACAGGAATCTGCAGCAAAAGGCCAGGCAAAAACTTGATGAGAGCCTACAACAAACAAGTGGCAGAAAAAAAATATTAAATCAAACATTACAGTACAGATTGCAATCTTCACAATCCTCGTCCCATCAAAGCAACTTGGATGTAAGGTTTGACCTAATACAAGGATTCTGAACATGTTACATTTCTGTGTGTGTGTGTGTGTGTGTGTGTGTGTGTGTGTGAGCGAGTTTGAGTTGAGAGAGAAAGACTGGCCCTGAGCTAACATCTGCTGCCAATCTTCCTCTTTCTGCTTGAGGAGAAGCAAACTTTTCCAGCGTTGCTTGACGAGTGGCACTAGGTCTGCGCCTGGGATCCCAACCTGCGAACTTCGGGCCACCGAAGAGGAGCGCCCAAACCCAACCACTACCCCACCGGGCTGCCCCCTCCCGCTAGTTACACTTCTTAGGTTTTCTTAAGATAACTACAAACTGGACTTGCATTCTGGCAGCACACATTGACAGATAAGTCTGTCCTTCCACTGCGATATCCCCAGCTTTTATGCACAGAACAGTGACCCCTCAACTCGTGGGTACTTGAGGGATGAAAGAAATGAGGATTTGGGTGTGAGGGGGCAGAGAAGCAAGAATGGCCACAGGCAAACTGTGAAGAGACCACTCACCACGTCAAGGAATGAGTCCCCCTGCCAAAGGCCTGCTTCAGAACCTTAGGAAGGGGATAGAGGAGCTGTGTGGATTCCATTTCTTTCAAGAATCTAGTAAACTAGACTAGCTTTCGGAAGAGAAGACAGGTGCAACCCACCCAGCTAAGTGATGCTTGCAGCCAAACGGAAATGCACTTTCCTCCCCTTTATTCCCAGGCAATGTGGAAACCCGGAAACCACTGATGATCCCGTCCCGAGGAGGTACTTCATAACAACTGGAAGGAAAGGCACCCGCCGTCTCCTGCAGAAGCAGCCACGTTTCCGCCCAGCGCTCCGTCCCCGGCCCCAAAGCACCACTGGAGAGCGCGTCGCCACCGCGGCCAGCACCCAAGATGCGCCCAGCTCCCAAACTTCCTCCTGCCGCCCGGCCCGGCGTGCGGGGAAACGCAGAGCGGCTCTCCCTCCCACACCATGGCGCGCGGGGCTGGCCGCCCGGACCCCGTGGGCCCCGCGGGGCGGCGGCAGGAGCCACAAGGTCAACGCCCGTTGCACAAGCCGAGCGCGGACCGTCCCAGCGCGCGTCTCGTGACTCCCGGGCACAGCCGCCCTAGCCCTCCAGGCGAGCCCTTGAAACCGCCAGGGAGAGCGTGAGGGCTGGGGCCCCGGGCCGTGCGGCGCCGAGGGCTGCGTCGGGGCAGTTACTGGGCTGGGAAGGCCACCTCCGTCGCAGGAGACCCTGCCGCGGTTGAAGTGTGCGCGCGCCCACGACCACGCTGGGGGCCAGCTCGGTTGGGCGCGCAGGGCCGGTGCTCCCCGCGGAGACACACCTGAGCAAGGGGGCGGGACGCCCCAAACGCAGCCCGGGCCCCGCTCTGCCCGTTCAGGCGGGCTCGGCCCTCTCTCAAAATCGCGGACATGCCAGAGAGAGGGATCTTACCTCCGGGAGACCTTGGCCCTCTGGCCCTTTGGGCAACCCCATGATCCAGTCGGACTGACGAGCGGCTGCGGCAGCGAAGACTGCGGAGCACCCGCAGGAAGCCGTCCCCAGCCGCGGAGCTGCTACCGGGGTGGAGTGCAAAGCAGCAACTTCCTCCGCTACCGCCGCCGCCGGCCCCGGCAGGGAGCGCCACGGCCCGGCGGAGCATGCGCGCTGGGGCGGGAGCGCGGCGCGACTGCGCCTGCGCGAGGACAGCCCCGGGCAAAGCTGGGACTGGCAGGGACGCCAGACCTCCTCTCCGGTGATGGTCCGAGGGCCGACGTTTGCTGGAGCTTCGCGCCTGGGCCCTGCATTTTTCTCCGAGGTGCTTTGTAAAAGGGACTATTCCTTCATCTCGGGGAAATTTTGCATCATGGCTCCCCTTTCTGCTTTTCACGGGCATCGTCTGCCCTCTCCATGAGACGAACTTCCGAAGCCCCCTCGCTCTCGGCTCGGAGTCCGAACACGAATGAGTTTGGGGATTTCGGAGACCCTGTCCCGCTTCTAGCTGAATTGGGGTGTCCCCTGACTAGAGCACACTTGGGCAAACTTCTCCATACACGGACCAGGAACGCAGCCCCCGAGAAAGAATTCTTCACGGCCGCTGCCCCCAGCTTTCGAGACTGCGCCTCTTGTTCCCCAGAAAACCTCGTTTGGGATAATGTCTCGCCATTCCCACCTCACCATCCCCAGTTCTGAATCTTCCTTAGGCGAAGGTCATCTCCGAGAATGCGACTTCGGTGTTGACGTCATTTTAGCTGCCGCATCACTTCCACGGTGCACCTCTTGTCTGTCCCAGAGGATGGCAGCGATTTAAGAGTTGTCTCCCTGGCCACAAGCCCCTGGCTCCCACCCCATGATGGCTTCTCCAGCTTTGTTTTTTTCTTTAATAGATGAAGAAAGAGGTGACGTGAAAACTTGCTCTAGGAAGAGATCCTTCCCCTATACGTGTGGGGAGGAGGGGGGAAGGGAGTATTGTGAAGTTATGAGCTCCTTGAGATCAAAGAGGCCGTGTGTGTGTGTGTGTGTGTGTGTGTGTGTGTGTGTTTCCTCTCTGCATCCCTAGCATCTTAAAAAGTAGATGCTCAGTAATTGTATGTCCTTGAAGAAATTCTTTTTATACTCCCTCTAGAGTTTATCCTGACAGAACAGAGAGATCTCTGGAACGAGTGATGGAAGGGCCCTAAGAACAGACATTTCCTTCTTAAGTTGAGTTAGCAAATATTACTAACCAAACTGTGTGCCCCCCCAAACCCCCCCATAATTTGAGAAATTGGAATAAGCAAATTAAGATGTTGGGATGAGAACTGTTATCTGAGTTATGTAACATCTTGCTCTTACCCATCGTAAAGCCAATGAAGCTCAGTTTCTAACATGCCCACTCTCATAACTTCCCAAATGTGCTATTTTTGTAATTATAAAATTGTCCTTCCCTGAGGTAGTATAGGCTGAGGGGGAATGAAAGGTGATAATGTTGTGACCACTCTCGGGTGGTTAGACAGGTACTGATGCCTAGGGACAGGTAACAAAATCTGATGTAGCAGGCAAGCTTACATAGCTGTATGTAAAGCAGCCCAGGGAATAGAGCCTGGATAATAGGACTCAGGTAGGCCACATGCACGTCCCTTGTTGTAAATGCTTTTGCAATATTTTAAATAAATATGAGCAGCTAATTTTCCCAGTAAGAAACTGTCCTGTAGGGTGACAATAGCAGAGTTGAGTTGGCAGCATGCTTTGCTTTGCTTTTCTTTTCTTTTAAAGATCCAAGTGAAACAGCTGTGGCAGCAGTCAAGAAAGCTTGAGCAGCCCATGTTTGAGAGAGGAACCCCTGCACAGCCTTAGAGAAGACCTTGAAGAGACGATGTCAGAGAAGGAGGTTTGTGAGGACCCAGGTAAATGCATCTCTCTCCCTCTCTCCTGGCTCAGGGTACTCATACACATTTTGTCTCCCTAGTGGAATATTTGGGGATTAGGGATCATTCTGTCCCTCCTGTGCACATCTAATACAGAAATGTGTGATGTTCTAAGTGCAAGATTCTCAGGAACCTCACAAAGACTTTCCTTTCCTGGGTAAAAGGGTGCCATAGTAAAGAGCTTCCTTTTAGGGTCACCTTTATTTTGGGTGAAGTTTTGAATAAAGCTTCGATTGTTCTGGCCTCATGTTTCTCCCAGCCCTTCCATTCTGAGCTCTTGCTATGACCAGGAAGGGGAATCATGAAGTTTGGAAGCACGAAGGGACCTTAGAAGGCATCTAGTGCAAATATGGGTGTTTAGAAAAGTAAAGTGACACAGTTTAGGTTATTGCATGTTATTGGCAGTGCTGGAACCAGAGCCCCACATTTCTGATTCACAAGTCCTTTTATTCATCCACCATTCATCCAACAAATATTACTGTGTTCCTTCTAAGTCAGTGACTCTCAAACTTAGCTGTGTGTTGGAATCACGTGAGGAGTTTTAAAAGCTACCAATGCCTGGGCTCCACCCCTAGCAATTCTGATGTAATTGGTCTAGGGAAAGACATGAATATAAGATTTTTCCCCTGGAATAAATTGTTTTACATGCAACATAGACTTCGTGATTATTATGTTTCTTTATAAATCACAGTGGCACACAAAATTTAAGATCCATAAACAAAGTAAGAGTCTGTAAGTTAAATGATTTATTCCTGAAAATTCTTAATTGTATGCTGATCTGTTCTCAATCAGTACAATTTCACAACACATCATCCTATACTGAGCATGTCACATTTCCATGGTAAAAAATGGAGGCTCAGGTGATGCAAGGAAACCCAAACGCCCTCAGCTTCTGGACACAACACTGCACACACACACATATGGACACACACAATCTTAGATGAGTTCTTCTAGTGCATTTTTCCAAATAAATGATAGTTTTATTAAAGAATTCCAACACTTTCCACCATTTTTACAATCATACTCTATTGGCTATCTTAGAAAGGGTTTGACAAGGATCCAGTTAAACAGCAGTGAATAACCATGCTTGAGAACCTCTGCTGCATTCTGTATCTCCTGTGGAAAAGGACATCTAACATTTTCTTGGAAAAGTGATTTAACAGTGAAACATTTCTTATATTGAGGAGCAAGTGGATTTTTAAAACATCACCAGTGATTCCAATGAGCAGCCAATTTGAGAACCCCTGTTCTGTGTGCCAGAGAGTAGTTCCTGATGCTGCGGTATTGCAGTCAGCAAACCAGACAAGATGACTACTGACGGAAATTAAACATGTCGACTAGTAAGATAATGTTGGCTAGAGATAAGTGTTCTTCAGGAAAAAAAAACCCAGTGTAATGTGTTGAGGAATAGCTGGAGTCAGAGGTTCTTTGAGATGAAGGGATCAGGATAGGACTCTCAGGCCCCATTTGAGGGGAGACCTGAATCTCAGGAAGGTCCCATGGAAGATCTTAGGGAAGAGCTTTCGAGGCAGAAGGAGCCTCTAAGTTGTTCTAGACAACTTCCCTTTCCCCCTCCAGACCCACTGTCACCCCTTTCACCTTGCTTGTTGCTCTACAAGGCTGGCCAGTAAGGGCTTCACTGACAGATCCTGGAGTGTGGGTTCCTAGGGTGGGGGCATCTGGGCTGGAGGCCTTGAGGTGGAGTGACCTGGGGTGTGGGTGCTGGCGTCAGGAGACCTGGGATGTGGGTCCTGGGGTGGGGGGACCTGGGATGTGGGTCCTGGGGTGGGGGAACCTGAGGTGTGGGTCCTGGGGTGGGGCTCCTAAGGTGGGGGTATCTAGGAGGTGGGTCCTGGGGTGGGAGAATCTGAGTGTGGGGCCTGGAGAGTGTCAATAGTAATTTGGCAAAATGTATCAAGAACTTTAAAAATATCTTTGGATATGATACTTCCCATTTTAGGACTTAAGTACAAAGATCTTCATCACAATGTTACTTGTGAGAGAAAAACCTGGAAACCATGTAAATACCCCATAAAAGGGAATGGTTAAATACAATATCCTCAGGGGATATGTTCCAAGACCCCCCAGTGGATGCCTGAAACCACAGATAGTACCAAGTCTTATATAGACTATTTTTTCCCCTATACATACGTACCTATGATAAAGTTTAATTTATAAATTAGGCACAGTAAGAGATTAACAACAATAACTAATAAACAAATAGAATAATTATAACAATATATTGTTAATAAAAGGTACCGTAGAGCTTAGCAACCTCAGAATACAATTTTTTTCTTAAGTAGAGAACTTTCCCTTTTTCAGTTAAAGGAAGCAGTTTACGGCTTCTCTTTGGCGTATCCAAATTGTCAGCATCATTACTCTTGCACTTTGAGGCCGTTATTAAATAAAATAAGGGTGACTTGAACACCAGCACTGTGACACCACGACAGAAGATCTGAGAACCCAGACAGCTACTAAGGAACTAACAGGCGGGTAGCGTATACAGTGTGGATCCAATGGACAAGAGGGTGATTCATGTCTGTCCCCGGCAGGACAGAGTGTGATAACTGGAGATTTCATAACACTGCTCAGAACGGTGCACAATTTGAAACTTATGAATTGTTCATTTCTGGAATTTTCCACTTAATATTTTTGGAGCTCATTGACTGCACGTAACTGAAACCGCAGAAAGGGAAACCGCTTTACGGCAACATCATGTTGCCAGTACAAACGTTCACTGCAGCAGGCCATGAAAGGAAAGGCTGAGAGATGAGGCTATGTAATATTAGCAATGTCTGCCTGTCAAAAGATCATTAAAATATTTAAAAAGCAAACTGGAAAAATATTCATTATGTGTGACAAGAGTTCTTACAAATGAAGAAGAAAATTTAATAGAAAGATGAGCAAAAGGCTTGAATGGAGAACTCCTAAAAGAAATTGTCACTAAATCTATGGAAAAAATATTCTCAGCTTCACACTAAAAAGTTAAAATGGGGGCCGGCCCCGTGGCTGAGTGGTTAAGTTCGCGCGCTCCACTGCAGGCGGCCCAGCGTTTCGTTGGTTCGAATCCTAGGTGCGGACATGGCACTGCTCATCAAACCACGCTGAGGCAGCGTCCCACATGCCACAACTAGAAGGACCCACAACGAAGAATGTACAACTATGTACCGGGGGGCTTTGGGGGAAAAAAGGAAATAATAAAATCTTTAAAAAGTTAAAATGACGTACGTTTGCATGGAAGAAATAATTAATGTGTTAAGGAGATTAAACTAATGTCATAGCACTCCCTAGTCATTGAGTAAGTTTTTGCAAGGGTTCTAGAGGGCAATTTGACAAAGTTAATTTTTCACCTAATATCCATCGAGTGCCTACTGTGTGCCAGGCGCCGAGAAGTGTTCTCAGTGGGGGTGAGAGGAGTGATTCAGCACCCCAGGGGTATTTGGAGTTTTCACCGTAACTGGGAGGTATTGCCAACATCCAGCACTCTGCTGTTGCAGATGTCAAGTGTCCTGCATTGACTTTGGGAATGTGGGAAGGTATGGGACTGTGTCAGTTCTGGGTGGAGGTGTTAAGAACCGTTCTGTATTTCCCTCACTCTGTTATGCTCCTTTCATCCATCATGAGAACATTCCCAGGCAGCCACTGCTCCCTCTGCCTGGGCCCCTGAATGAGAAACAGACGTGAGAGAAGGGAGCAGACTGAAGACCTGAATCCAGCTGAACCCAGCAGAGCCAGAGCAGTAAGTGGGAGAGCAATGTTTGCTGTGAGCACTGAGGCGGGAGGTTGTTTGCTGAGCATCGTCCTCAGGGCATAACCCGACTAATACATCGCACAAGGAAATTGTCCATCCAAATGCCTTATGCACCCGCAACCCTCTGCCCGAAAAGCAGCGGATGCAGAAAATGAGCAAAATGGAGCTGTGGATGAACGTGCACAGTCAACACGTAATCACATGGAAATTATCTGATTGCATGTTGAAATAAGGGCCATTATGGCAAGGTGAAACGTAGGATGCAAAAGAGGAACTGGAGGAGTGATTCTGAGTGGGAGGTCAGGGAGAATTTCTCCAAGGACACGCCATTTCAGACCCGGGGTTGAGTAAGAGTGAGACACAGTAGGGAAAAGCCTTTGGGGCTGAGGGACCTGCAGGGCAGAGCAGGGAGGAGCTCGGTGTGCTTGAGGGACAGGAGCACAGAGAGCACCAGGGGTGGGCGAGGCGGAGGGGCCCAGGCGGGACCTTGAGGGGGTCGGATTTCACCTAAGCATGATGAAAGCTTTAAAAATATATACATTTTGTAAACGTATTGGTCTTATCACTACAGTGATTCAGCCCGTGGTCTATAGAAAGGGACTTTGAGTTTCACATGTCCCCAGTGGCAAGACTGCTTGTGTAAGACTCCTACCCCTGTTCATGTTGTGGGGATTGGTAACAGCAACAACTGAAATCCGACCCTTACACTCTCTGGAAATGGAAGGAAAGGAAACAGTTGACTCAGGAAATTCCCTTCTAACTAAACTGCATTTATAAAACATTATCCTAGGAATTACAGTTCCATCAAGCTTCCATGTGAAACTAAATGAGAGAAAATCCAAAATTCCTTTTGAAAAGAGACTTAAAAATGCTATTTTTCTACATCAATGGGAGAGATTTCTTAAATAGCAATAAAGACACATTATACTTTCATTATCTCAAAATCAAATTAGATGGAAATGATATACTCATGAGATTCGTACGTACATTGTAGGTTTATAAAATATCTTAAGACTCTTCATGTTTCTTGGCAAAGTTAAAAACTTACTACAGTGTTTCTACATTATTTTGTTGGACTTGTTACCAACAACAAAAATTCTCTAGTTACCTACAAATAGAGTAACATGGAAGTCATTAATTTATAAGATCAGTATTTAAATAATCTAAAATCATAAAACATTATCCTAAAAATTGCAATTTTAACAAGTTATATTTGAACCATTGTATCATCACTTAATAGCAATAAAAGTAAGAGAGAAAGAAAGCAGAATTACGTTAGTAAAGAGAAAAAAATTTCTGTAGCAGTTCTGATCTTCAGAAGTGGAGTCATTACAAGGTAGGATCAACTTGGAAAGTGACTCACTTGTGTTTTCAGGTTGTGTGGACAGAGCACTGAATCCAGTGCTTAGCATAGTGACATTTCTTGTTGCCAGCAGAGGATGCGATGGGCCTGTGAAGACCCTCAGTGGAGAGGTCTCCTGTGGAGACTTTCCAGAATGGGGAGAAGGACAGAAGGTTCTCGTCTCAAGAACCCCACATGTGGACAAGGAGATGTGCATGAAATGCCTCATGGGAAGGATTGTTTGAGATAGAAAAATACTGAGTACAACCTAAATATTCATCAAAAGGAGAATAGATGTATAATTTGTGATATCTTCATCCAGGGGATTAATATACAGTGGTGAAAATGAAGTAGAGTTACATGTTTGAGTATAGATAAATATGAAAAGTATAAAGTTAATTTTTTAATAAAAGCAACATTCATAATGATTTTGCTAAGTTTACAAGCATTCAAAATAATATTATTCAATGCTTATGGATACCTAAATGTGTAGTAAAAGCATGAAAGCATGTGTGGGAATTATGCTCATGATTGTGATTTCCTCTGCCAGGGGAGGAGAAGGGGGGACAAAGGAGGACCAGAGAGCATCAACTTTATCTGTAATACTTCATTTTTGGAGAAAGATGATCTAAGGCAAATATGATATAATGGCAATATTTGATAAAGGTGGGTGATAAATATGTGGATAATTATATTACCCTTATTTTCCGAATAGTTTAATTATTTTATAATAAAAATATGTTAAAAATGAAATAAAAAGAACCACTAAAATGAATTAGAAGCAAGCAAGAGGGGATGGAAGATGTAGACTCCTTTTGGAGAAGCTTGACTATGAATTGAAGGCAAGAAATAAGAAGATGGTTAGGGTTAGCATGATTGATGGAGAGTTTGTTTCTTTGGCTTTTTTTCCTTAAGATGGCAAAGACTTAAGTATGTTTTATTAAATTACAGGGCAAAAGCCAGTTGAGGAACAAAATAAAAGCCAAAAACACAGATTTGAACCTTAGAGGCTTAGCTCTTACTAATTTCCCTCAAAAAAAAGAAATGTATGTTTTTTTCCTCATAGATAGTCAGCTCCTCAAGGAAAGACAAGAGCTGTGTATGTTCTGTTTATCTACATGCCAGAGCCTGCCTGGAACAAGTGCACCATGAATGATTGGGTGGATAGATGGGTGGGTGGATGGATGGATGGATGGATGGATGGAAGGATGGATGGGTGAATGGATGAAAAGTGTTAAGTGTGGTAGTATTACCATAATGTGTGCATTAGAGTGGCCACCAGGTGGCAGATGTGACAGTCAATGATCATCCTTTCAGAGAAAGGAGTTCAGATGGTAGCTACAAGATAATGGACCACATTTATCATTTTTTTCTTAAGTAAGCTTATGTAAGTAGAATACACTTAATATTTAAGTGGAGATTTGGGACTATCTTGTCATTTATTGATTTCTCATTCTGAGTATCAGTCGGTCAACTTAGTCTTTCCTGGAGAAGGAGCTCGGTGCAAAAAAGTGCAGTTGCATTGACTTGTCATTAAAAAAGGGACTGAACACACATGTACATCTTCTCTGTCTCCTGAAATCCAAACAAAATGATAGCAAAACTGTGATTCTACAAGGACAAAGGGAATGGAAGAGGAAATAAAAATGCTTTTATAACCAGTTTATTGAATGGGTTATGCTTGATGAGGTGCAAGCTGGAAACAAGCTGATTTTCTTCCAGTCCGTCTTCTTTAAAGTTGCTCTGTTAGGTTTTGTTTCCCCCACACCTGGACGATATCTTGTGCAGATTCTAAAGCTCTTCTTTGTACTTTTGTAGATTAGAATAGTCCCCTTTTCAGATATTAAAAAGTCCAGTCTAATCTATTCTTCAATCTTTTATCCAATTCACACTTTCTTCCCCTCTTCCTGTCTTGGATCTGACCTTGAATTCTGAAAAATGGAAGTAGGGGGTTTATGGTCTCTTCCTTTATCTATCCCTCACCCTACTTCTTCCCCCATTCACTAATTGACGCTTCTGCCCCACACCCATTAGAAGAGAAGAGGAAAATCGTATTTGGTTGCGCTGTTGTACATGGCATTGCTGCTTCTGTGTGGCGTGTTCTCCAAAGCTGACCCTTTCTGGTGGGGGTCCTTTTGCAGAATTTTTTGTCTATTGTCTCGTGGGACTTTTGACCTTGCAGTGTCCTCCTCACACTTCACTGGGTGAAGCACCATGCAGCTCACATCTCATAATGTTCCCTTAATTCTCCTTTCACATACTCCTGATGCAAGCTCATTCTGCTGGTGCAGAACTTGTGTGGGGTCCTTTGAAGTTCACTCTTAACTTTGCTGATTTCCTATTTAGTTCTTGGGAAAACTAGTGAATCTCTGTCCAGTCTAACTATGGAAATTTAGACCATTCCCACTGTGGTCTCTTCTCTGTTCTACACAGGCAACGTCAGGTGATTAGAAGGCCCTAATCTTTCTGCCTCTCACTCACCTGACCCCCTAAGTCTGGAGAACATGGGTCTAGTTCTCCCAAGAACACTCTTTCCCCCAAACTTTGCTCAGGTTGTAGCATAGAGCAGGCCCACAGGCTTCTGCAGCTCAGCAGAAGCTGACCGGGGGTTGAGATGTTAGTCTTTATCCATGGCAGATAATCCCAGGGTCTTGAGTGTGTGTCATGAAGCCTCCCCTTGCTTGGACCAAGAAACATCCATTTTGAATGTTCACACTCCCATATGTAACCCTTCAAAAAAATCCCGACTCGCTCTGAAAAGTCTCTAGTCTGCTCTTATTTATTTACTTATTTATTTATCTTCATATATGGGCTAGAGATGTGGGGTGGGCTAAGGGCACAGGATTTGTTTTACTATTTAAGAATAGTGAGTCCTATATAAATATTCTATCATCTTCCTTTAGAATATAGAGGTACATTACATTGTTGGCTTTGAGCCTTAGCCAAAACTTCAAATTTATTTTTAAAAACTTC